CCAGTGACAAGACTTCTCCAAAGGTGGGCAGCTGCTGTTCTGTGCCTTCTGGGCACATTAAAAATTAATAACAATAACAAAAACAGCAGTGCTGGGAATTTTTCTTTATGGTTCATATAATCATGTTTGCATTTCATTGCCTATGATAAGATTATGACAAAATGTTCTAAAGCAGTTGTAAATCCTATAATGTACCAAACTTTCAAACACAGTAAAAGAAAAATCATTCAAAAATGTTATTCACCACTTTATGACGTTTTTTATAAGTCTTGGTGATGCAAATACACGTATTTTTATATGTTATTAAACTTTTTTAAATGGTTTACTGTAAGTTACCCTATCATATACAGTGAAAAATTGTTTTTTGCCAGTAGTTACTCATAGAAAAATATGAGTCATATTATAATTGGTAAAAACTTTTTCTCCCAGTCCCTCTGTCACATTTTCATTTTTATATTGTTTTTTGTTATTTTCTTAGGCTATAGTGTTTTAAGATTTATTATTTTTGTTTAATCAGTGTTTATTGCATTATTTTAGTGTCCTGTATTTCGGCAATGGTGTTTTGTGTTTTACCACCTGTGTAATTATGGTGGTTATCAGTATTTTTAGGAACATACACAAGCTAATTGAAGTGTTTCTATTATTTTGGTGTAACTTACAGACAGACAACAGCTTACTGGACATCAAAGGCTGCAAACCAAAGTTGTAAAATTCTCACGCTGTTTGTTCACGCTTGGAATTTAACTGAATTTCTTATGATTATGTTGCGTTTTGAAAAGTCACACTTATTTGAAATGCAGTTTTTTGAGCTGCGGTAATCCATTTTCAGTAAGACCATTTTCAATCCATATTAATTTCCTTTTTTTCATGGTTGTCCCTGAAAATTACCTCTCAGTTTCCTCCCATGCATTAACCACATGTGTACTAAATCCTCACTTTCCTGTAAAAACTGCCATTTCACATGCAGAGTGTATTCTGAAGATCAAACATTTTCATTACTGATGGCGGCTCATGCCCTACCTATGATTTCCCCTCAGGTGAAGTGAGATTTGTCAGCTGAGGTAAAAAAAAAAAAAGTGTGTGTGGACTGTGGTGCCCAGGTTGACTAGGAAAGCTTTTAATGAGTGTTCAGCCATGAACTGAAGGTCTTCTCATTTCCACCTACTCTCTTGAGAGCACTACATAGGTTCAATTCAAGATATCAAAACACTTTAAATAACAAATTCCTGTAGACAAAGTTTTAAAACTTTTAAAATGTATGTAAAAAATGTACGATATAGGGAATGCAGAAAACGTAATTATGCATTGATTAAGATCTGTTATAGATTGCATTATGTAAATATGGCAATGCAATCATTTAGCAGGAGGTAAATTATAAATGCCTTTAAAAGTCAGTCTTTAAGATGCAGTTTCATCAAAATGGAGAAAGAAAACTTTCTGAAATCTATTTAAAATTCTAACCCACCACCCATTCTTGCACTCATTTTATTTCCTATTTTTTCTTAGTTAAATGTCAATTTCGCAGAAGCCCGGGGGAATTTCTGATAATCGTTTTAGTTGCTTGAAAAAAATGAGGTGGTTTAAAATGCCATATTATTTCCCCAGTCTTCCTGAAACCTAATTTACCTGCACAGCTGATAGATTGGAAAAACCATTTGCGCTCATTCATTCCAATCGTTTGGCTTGTTGCATTTCAGGGGATGCATTCTGTTGAGTAAATTTGCTCTAGGTGAAAGCTTCTTCACTCTTTTATCAACGCATCTGCAAGTTTAAACATCCAACGCAGAGCAGACATGAGAGGGAAGAGCTGAGCTCTCTGTGAGAGGAACCTGCTCGTGCTGATGCCTGAAGCTGGTTAGCTGCCAGTGTATTATAGATGATGTATACAGTCTTGCTGAGGTTTTGCAGAAATCCACCTTTTCGGATTGCGATCTTTAATTACTCCACTAGCAGGATCTTAATGCATCAACAGAAGCATCAACACTGTATGGTCACTTTGTGTACTCTTCTGTTCAAAGCTTTGCTTTTAAAGCGATAAGGCTAGCACCAGCCATGGAGATTATGCAATTAATAACTTATGTCTTTACTAAATTGGAGACAGTTATAAGGTAAAACTTGAACTTTTTCAATGAGCTAAATGTGATTAACTGATAAGGTTTCTTAATTCTCATTCTTATTATTTGCCTGGGTATGTTCAGTTCTACCAAACATGCTAAGAGTTTTACTTTTTCTAAATATGTAATGTTGATCATTATATACATATATGATATAGCCTACACACACAGCATTTCAAAATACAAAGTTAATATTGGATTACTTACAGAAGACACAATATTGCCAGTTACTTTGAACGCGTTTCTCTTCAAACAAATGTGTTTCCTTCCTGAATGTGCTAACGAATGAACGAATCTGTTGAAGAAATGATCGTATGACTCATCCCTGCATTTCGTTGCTAAATGAATCAGTGTTTTTGAATGAATCGGTTGACTGACTGAGTCAAAGATTCACTCACAAAGACAATCGCTTGTCGCCTTCTGGCCTAACGATGTAACTGCAGTAAGGATCACTGAAAAATTCGCATCACTTAGACAGATCTTGGTAATTTTAGTATTATTTATATGCTATGATAGTATTTATTGATATTTTGAATAAGCTTTTATTTGTATATTTTCATGTTTTATGTGCTTTTTTATTTCCATTATCTTCTTTCTTTATTTTATTTTTTTACATTTTTTTTTTTAGTTTTAGTAACTTTCGTACTTTAGCTTAAACCTGTTCAGGTTTTTTATTTCTTTTCAGTTGATTGACAAGGCAACATTTCCTATTTTTGTTTAGGTTTTTACATTTTTTTCATCTATTTTTATTTTAATTTAAGTTTAGTTAACAATTAACAGTTTACAATGACAACACTGGCCTGGAAAACACAAACACAGCAGACAAGGTAGCTATAGTGAAAAATCGCAGTGCAGTCGCACGCTGCTTGACTAATCAGATGCAAAAACTGAAACTAATCGTTGTATAAAAATCTAAATATATGTACATAAATTTACATCAACATTTCATGTCACTTGACACAAAGGTTAATACCTGTTTTCAATAATGCTATTCAATTTTTGTGTCTTATCACCCACATCTCTCTCCAGTCTTGTAATATTCTACAGACATCGCTGTGATATGTCTTAGCTGTGTCTTTTGCTATTATGGAGCTCTCTAAATAATTAATTCCAATTCTATTTAAAATCTTATGAGAGCAATCTGTTCAAATGAAGTCTGAACTCTTCTTTTGCAGGAATCACTCTTTTAGGATCCACCACGGAGGTGATGCATCATCCACAGATATTACATTTTTTATTTGCTTTATGTGTTTTTCACTGCCTCGGTTAGACTCTGAATCCATCATTTGCTCATGGCATTCTACTTTAAATGGCAGTCTAACACTCTTAAAAAGAATGTTGCTAAACAATACCCGATTAGGGTTCTTTGGCTTCTAATGAAAGCAGAAAGAACCATACCTTTTTAATTACAGTTTCTTTTCATTAATATTCATTTTTTAAACATATTATTAAACATATTATTATTGTAATTGTAATTATTAATATTGATTTGCAGTTACACCATAATAATGGATTCAGCGTCTGGTTGAGAGTTATATTGTGTCTCATTCATTCGTTTATGCAAAAGCAATTATGTTTATGAAGGCCAAAAGTAGCCATTGTTAATGGACAGTATTTGAGCACTTCACAATGTTAAAAGGAAAAAAAAATCCTGGCACGGCTTATGAGTTGGAATGTTTGTGCAGAAACCACAGTAATAATTTAAAACTCTAACAATATTTATCATAAATCCAGTTTTTCTGTATCCTCAAGCAGAACAGACCACACTTACAGTACATGTTCTGTTAAAATGAAAAGAGAAAAAACATGATTGGTATGAAAAGACATTTTTTTTAAAGAAATATTTAATGTGAGAGTGTGGAGAGTCTAGTTGAATGATTGTGCTCCAGGAAGTTAGAACTGTAACTAAATGTAAAAAAAAAAACTTTAAAGAACCATCTTTTTTATAGATTTATGCTTTGAATTTACAAATTTAGGCGAAAATACAAAAATGTACCCTGGGCCTAAGGGGTTATTATCATATTTTAAGGTAAACACTTTACTTGTAGGCATATGATGCAAAAATGCCGACTCAAAGTGAATAGATGACACTGTCACAGACAAACATATTCGGTTCATAAGGCAGATATGTTGTCTGATTTCTAGGGATGCAGGCTACTACAAGACTATGGCGCAAAAGAGCACAATATCGCTGTGCTCATCACCTCTGTGTGATGTAATACAAAGAGTATGACTCCATTAGTGTGGCACAACATTAGTCACATTAGCCAGAGCAGGCTCAGAGTATGGATCTTTACAGCCCATTTCCCCTTTAGTAGCTATAATTAGGGTAGTTTTTGTGCAAAGTGCCTTTTTGAAGGGCAACAGAAAGTCTCCTTGAAGGGTGATTAGAAAAAGCTTTTTCTCTCTCCCGCAGGTTAGATATTTATGTTAAAAAGGTAATAGCCTACATAATGCATGAAGGAGGACTAAGAAAGGAAAAAGAGAAGGTGGACGATATATATCCATATCCATGTATAGCCTAACGTTATTGTTTCAATAGAGCCATTAGCAATGTCTTTTGCGCCCCATTAGAGTCTGTGATGTACAGAATCGCAGTTTCACATTAATATAATTCACTTCATATTAGGTCTTTAAAGGGATAATTTGAATTTAAATTTCAAGACTTGTTCCATCAGATAAAGGGCCGACCGATCATATCATTTGACTTTGAACGAATTGTCATTAAAGGTACAGTTAAAGCGATCGAGGTCGGTCATTATGATTTAATACAGTGTGGAATCAATGTTCTCTTATTAAATGTTCTGATCTCTTCTGTTTTCGCCACAAGTGGCCGCTGACGTACAAAAAGATGGGAACTGTGTTTTTCTATCTCAACGTTCTTGGGGACATTACTAGTGTAACATACGGCTAACGTTATAGCATGTAGCATTTGCATAAACTTGAAGGAGATCTGTGGATAAGGTAAACACCTTAAACATTTTGTTTAACAGCATGTTTGTCAAATAGTGACATCTGTCGAAGTCATAACTTTATTATATACGTTTAAAGCTGTTTTCTAAATGCCATAATCCAAAGCTACACAGAAACTGTTAAGAAACTGGGTTTACTGGCAGCTGTCAAACTCACTAAATCATTTATTTTAGTAATTTTGCTACTCTCTGTACTGTACTGGTTTTTGACATGGTAGTATTCCTTGGAATTACCTTGGAATATCATGTAAATACAATATTACACGAATATAGTAAACATTCAGTATCATAGTAAGTTATATTTCAAAGTACCATCGGATATTGTCAATGTTGTACCATAAGTGCTATGACTGCTGTAGTTTTTCATTGTATCTTTTCAGTCACTGGACCTGCTTCTTTAGATTTTATTATTATTATTATTATTATGTGTCTTTAAGTTTCATGTGTTTTCGTTTGGTCACATTGTGTTGTGTGATTTTTATGTTCAGTCATCATTTGTTGTAACCTCTTCATCCTTAAACACATACTCTCTGCTTATCCTTGTCACTGCACAGTTTTTATTATTAGCAATGTACACTATGTATTCTGCATTCGTCCATCTGTTTACCTATTTTAATACATAATAAATGTGTGTTTACAGGGTATGGTTTAGACCGTGTAATTTTGTCAACAAAATGTGCCTTATCCAGTGTGTAATTTGCACTTGTTCCACTGTATACTTTGACTTGACTTGATTTGACAAACAAATTAGTACTGTGCTTACAAAACAGTCTATTTATTACTTTATCTAAGGGTATATTACATGTAGATAAAGCTTTTTTTTTTTTAAGTGTGCAATAAGGGATTTATCAGGCTCTAAAAACGGTGCAAGATTTTACTGAAAATGTTGTTGTCAAAATCATTATTAGACATCACTTGGTTCCATGTACAAACATGAATTCAAGGTTAATGTGTGCAGGATGCTAATGACCTACAGTTTTAGTAATCGATATTTCACAGACTTTCCAATGCAGGACATTACATTATGTTGAATTGTATGTATATCTCTCATTAATCCTGCTTGTGAACATTATAAATAGTCTTGAATTTGCATTAATCAATCACATAATTTGTTTCCAAAAAGTTGTCCCCTTTCATAACAAAACATTTCATTTTATGCTCGTATTGCAAATATTAGCTGCTTTGTGATGTCTTTATTGTGTTTATTGTAGTGTTATCCAGTATACTATGGTGTGAGACACTGAAATGGCTGGTCGTATTCCTCTGGTTTTGCTGGCCTGTGGCTCCTTCAACCCCATTACCCACCAGCACATGCGGCTGTTCGAGCTGGCTAGAGACCACATGCATCAGACGGGTTGGTGCCACCTGTTCATTCACCTGAAATTGGCCATCATCTGTTATCAGGCCAAAATTGGCCTCCTTTCCACCGTCCCTTTGGACCCGTCGCTTTTAAGTGATTTCTGTTATGTAACTGCATTTTGGTTTATTTTTTGTTTAATTCTAGTCTAAAGTGTGCCTAAATCTGTTATTAACCATATAAAGACAGACGAATAAAATAGTTTTTTTTTTAAGTTATTGAACATTTAGTCTTCCAAAAAAAATGTTTGCATATGTTTTTTGTTGAGTATCATATCTGATAGTTCAGGCTTTTATGGCCCTTATAGTATAATATAGGATCATTTTGGGCTCATGCTTAAGGTGGAAAGAAACAGTTTTATTCAGAGGCTCAAACTGAGCAAAAATATGCAATTTGGCTCATTTGCTAGTATTTATATGGCCAAAAAGTTGAAAGATGAACTTTAGAATAGAACAATTACATAGAATGCATATAAAATTCAGTTATCAGTCTGTATCTCCCAATAATATGTCTTAGTAAGATCATATAAATACTTAGTTTTCTGATCAAACCTCTGTAGTCTTTATTGTGGGGGGGCAAAACATATAATGCGATGCAATACAAATATGATTGAGAATAAATATAAACATTAACAAATAAACATTCCTAAAAAGCCTGATGTGTCATTTTATTATTTTCTAATAAATAATGTAGTAGATTGTGTACAACAGGTTTTTCAGCAAAGGTTTGATCATTTTAGTAATTTAGAGGCCTTAAAAATGTGTGTATATAACACAGCTTGCTTTATAGGTTTAAAAATATCTTTATTATGCAGAGGCTTTTCTTTATATAAAGCTGTAAGGAATGCATGACAAATGCCCAGTTTTAATGTTTAGCGCTCTGATCTCAGTGAAAATATACTTGCATAAGTTCATACCCAAGCGTCACCAGCAAAAAAAAAGGCTTTGTAGCTGCTGTAACGCCGTGTCTACAATGCAAGCAAGCATTTCAAGTTTTGTTGATTATAATTGGAACACTTTGTTGTGTTGCACCGCTAGCTTGCAGTGTAGACGTGGTGTAACTGCGCCTCTCGAAAAATTCTGCATGGTGCTGGCACGCTGACATGTTTGCTTCTGTTTATTTACTGTGCACAGTGTACTCTAAAATTGCTTGCAGATATAGCATAACAAGTTACCAAAATAGCTTGCGTATTATATTACCTCAAGAGTGGCTGGAAACTTGTTTGTGGTTTCTTGCCATTTTTATGAAAGATTAAAACTGACTTTTAAAAATGAATTTTATGGATGAATTCTGTTTTATAATGTCTTGCATGCGCAGCTAAATGAGAAACTGCAAAAACAATTGCAGTATGATGTGAATTCATCTCGACTATGCAATATTACAGCATTATTTTCGCTAAAACATTAAGCATTCAGCAACTCATTAGAGTCCGCCTGAGTATGCAAAGCTTGTGTTAATTTGTGTGCAGTGACTTAGAAACTTTTGCAGGGCTGCAGCACTTAGAAAAGGAATCAACGTCTCTTTAATAATCCAGCAATTATTTAGATTTCATTCATACGCTGGGTGCTTCAAAGGAATAGTTCACCTAAAAATGAAAATGGGCTGAAACTTTACTCACCCTCAGGCCATTCAAGATGTAGATTGCATCACTTGCTCACCAATGGATCCTCTGCAGTGAATGGGTGCCGTCAGAATGAGAGTTCAAACAGCTGATAAAAACATCACAATAATCCATAAGTAATTCACTCCAGTCCAATGACTCCAGTCCATCAATTAATGTCTTGTGAAACGAAAAGCTGCATGTTCATAAGTAACAAATTCATCATTAAGGTGTTTTGACTTTAAACCGTAGCTTCTGCCCAAAATACCAGTCAATAATCCATAGTAATGCTTCCTCCAGTTGTCTTCTCACATCAAAATCCACCAACTTGTTTTAGACTGTTTTTCTTATATAGAAGACTCACAGTTTAGGTGAAATCAACGTTTTGAAGTTAAAAACGTCTTAACGATGGTTTTGTTTATTAACACAATTTTTTTGCTTCCCAGATGTTAATTGATGGACTGGAGTTGTGTGGATTATTGTGATGTTTTTATCAGCTGTTTGGACTCTCATTCTGACGGCACCCATTCACTGCAGACAGAGGATCCATTGGTGGGCAAGTGATGTGATAACAAATTTCTCCTGTATCCGATGAAGAAGAAAAAAACTCATCTACATCTTAGATGACCTGAGAGTGAGTCAATTTTCAGCAAATTTTCATTTATGGGTGAACTATTCCTTTATTGCATTGCATTATGGGTAGACGTTTTATCAGTTCATGCTTTTCCTGGGAATTCAACACGTTTGTTGGCATTGGTATAATGTTTGAGCTACAGGAACTATGAAATGCTTTATATTTGGGTAACACTTTAGTATAGGGATCAATTCAATTAGTTGCTTATTAGCATGCCTGCTATTAACATATTAGCTGTTTATTATTACTTATAAACCATTTATTCTACATGACCATATTCTACATCCCTAATCCTGCCCAATACCTAAACTTAACAACTACCTCACTAACTGTTAATAAGCAGCAAATTAGGAGTTTATTGAGCCAAAAATCATAGTTAATGCTTTGTTAATAGCGAGAATTGGACCTTAAAATGAAGTGTGACCTATATTTAACATCTGATGTTCTTGACTCTTTTTGGGATATGTTGTCTCTCTCCATCTCGTAGGTCTGTATCGTGTGGTGGGTGGCATTGTATCTCCTGTCGGTGATGATTATGGTAAACAGGGTCTTGTTGCTTCGAAACACAGACTTGCTATGGCAAGACTTGCCCTGCAGAGCTCTGACTGGGTTTCTGTAGACGACTGGGAGAGCCAGCAGGAGGATTGGACAGAGACTGTGGTGACCCTGAGGTGAATATACATATAAAGAACAATTTTACAAAAGTGTCCTGCATCGGCTTCTTACCATGACTAACGCAAATCATTTATCCAGTCAAAAGTTTGACAAGGCAAGTAACTTTCTGGAGTCTTTTAACACAACTGGGACACTGGCTGTAAAGGAAACATTACCCGGTTTTGACAGATGGGGTGCTAAATGCTGATTGCACCTCCATTATCCCAGAAACTGCTCAGAAGTGCAGCGATAGAGTCATCTTTGATGATAGTAAAGTTGCTTTTTTTCTTTACTTCAAAAGCACTGTTCAAATTTTAAACATACTGGCATTATTAATATGAATGACAGTTTATTATACAGCATACAGTTACGTCTGATGTAGGCTTATCCTTCTCTTAAATGAACTGAGGGTTCACATTAGAGTGTTACATCTCACATATGAATACCCAGAAATCTCATTTATATAGTGCAATATATACAAGAAGAATGACACACATTGGCAAAGGTATATAGATATGGAATATAGATATTCAATCTCTACTCTAGAAATATTTCAAGATGTAATTATATTTTATATGTTGCCTTTATATGTGAATTCACCTTGCATTGCCCTCTATGAAGGACTTCACAAACTCACCGTCATCTTCAAAATATCAAGAGCTGAACTAAAGCCAAAACTTTATAGGAGTCGAATCCTTAAAGGGGTCATATGATGCTATTTTAAAGATCATTATTTTGTGTATTTGGTGTAACAGAATATGTTGACATGCTTTAATGTTCAAAAAACACATTATTTTTCAAATACTGTACATTATTGTAGGTCCTCTATGCCCCGCCTCTCTCAAACGCTTAGTTTTCTACAAAGCCCCCTCCTTTGACAAGCGCAGTCCGCTCTGATTGGCCAGCTGACCCAGTGCACTGTGATTGGCCGAACACCGCAAGCACTCATCGGAAATGTAACGCCCCTTACCATAATCGCAAGCTTCATCTTTCAAAATAAACGTAAAGACAGTAAATAATGTCATTAGTTTTACCATCAGTTCAAGCCCGAAAGGACAACAGAGTCGCGTGACAGACACAGTGATGAAGCTGGTA